TTATTATTATTATTATTATTATTATTATTATTATTATTATTATTATAGAAAACAATAGTTACATTACTTTCAGAACAATACTTACTCTACTTTTCAATACAATACGATACTTTACTCTACTTACAGAATGGTACAATGCTCTCTTTACTTACAATAGGATACAATACTGTCAACTTACATTGTGGTACAATATTTACTCTCCTTGCAATACGACACAGTTCTTATTCGAATAAGATACAGTACTAACTGTAAGTACTACGGTCAACTTAAAAATGTGGTTAATAAGGCTAATTTTAATACTTCTCATTTCAATTTGTTACTCTGTGTTTTGGTTTGCAGGTAGAATATGATGAATTCAACTCCCTATCAGTGTTAGGAACTGGTGGAGATCCTCTCGTCATTCCTCTGCCAAATGCTGAGCTCCCTCTTCAGGTATTACATGGAAATTTCATGCATCTAGTTTAACCAGTAATAAATGCATAAATTATACATAAAATTAGATACATACATTACTGTCAGTAACAATGAGTCTTAGGCAATCAAACACTAAATAATCTATAATAAGGTTATGAACTCGAGATTGCTATGAGGTGATAACTGATGAGGAGAAGGACCAACTCAACTAGATCATTTCATAGAAATCAACGTGAGTGAATATCTACTGTTAGTAGTTGTTTCAAGTTATTTGTAGAATTTTGATTAAAATATATTTTTTCAAATAGCAATTTCCAATTATTTCAAGTTACATATACTTCCTTTCTTGAGTGTTCTTGGGAACTGAATCATCAAGTGACATTTTTATTAAACTCTTCCTCAAAACATCAGAGAAACGAGAAAACATTGCCATTTTGTAGACAATGTTGAGCCACAACACACTGATGGCTAATAGTGTACGAGTAATTCAGCCAATCAAATTGCAACATTTGCATTAGTACACTAGTAGAATTCTACTAATATTTTAGTGTTTGCATATTTGTCAATCACAGGAAACAAAACACCTGACAGGTTTGTGCTTTTCAGTACAAACATATATATACATTATTATTTTTCCAAAGGCTGTGTTATACAATAAAATCAGTAACATTTGATCAATTTCAATAAGAGGAGCAAATTTGAAGTATGTGTTCACAAGAAAACTCCACATGTATACTCATCATGTTAAGGAAAGGAAATTAATTAATTTACAGAATGGTACAGTTGTAGTTGTATTAAATTTATATGGAGGAATGTGTAAGGGAGATGTTTGTAATTGTTGTCTTTAAGTACTGAGATCTAGGAATCAGAATGGAGTGTTATATTTAATACCAAAGCTGACTCATCATATTTCTGTACAGGTTCAGTTGGCCATTGCAGGAGTTATTGCTGCTGATACTTCAGCCTACAAAGACCAAGTAGCGTCATGGGATGGAGAAAAGAGAGTGGTATCCAAGTAAGCAATAGACCAATTTTGATATATTGAAATTCAGCCTAAAACAGTAGACCTCAGTACAAGGCTCTGAGGAATAACTACAGAGTTTTTCGGGTTTATTCCCCAGAACCTCATGCTGAGGCCTATTGTGTTGGGCTGAATTTTAATATATCAAAATTGGTGTATTAATTCCAGAAGCACTCAAAAGTTTACTTTACAGTACACTGTAGTTACTGTTACTGTTTGCACATTGTGCAGCTCCACAAAATATACACACACATGCACCATCTCCATGAATGGTCATTAGAAATTCTGAAGGGTGGAAGGGGAGAGGGGGGGGCAGGGATTGTGTCACGTTCCTGATGTGGCGAATTGGATGTGCCATACATCGGAGTTCGCCAGCTTAACCAAAGTGGGGCATAACGATTCAACAAGATTTATTGAAGAGCTGGCAGAGCCGCTTATACATCACTTATGGTAAAAACTAGAAATGAATAGACAATTGTCGAGTCACAAAAGGATCACGGAATAACAAGCTAAATGAAAACAAATAAAACTATAAGAAAGGAAAATATAGAAAAAACGACTTACATCTGATCTAGCACCAGGCGTGGGAAACTCCAAAGAAAACAGCTCCAAATACTCCAAGTTGAACTACGAGCGACTCCTAAACATGCGACTCCGATAAACTGAAATGTGCTAAGAAATATGATATCTACAATGACGAAACACCTAGAGCGGCCAGTCAAGAAACGTAAATCAAACATTAACTAAATCAACAAGTGTTGTAACGTAACAGAAGTGTTCAATCACTAAAGGTCCAATGTTTATTTATGTACACGACAGATTGAATGGAAAAAAATGGCAAACTGGACTCTCTGGGGGTGTGTGTTTTGGCAGTAGGGGGGTCGGTGTGGTTAAACTGAAAGATGTTCAGTTGGACCAGGGAGTATAGATATTTGTATGCAGAAAATCATGCTTTGTTAGTTTCCTGGTTATAGTCAGGCTTCAATTTATGGTTGATTATTTAGCACTTTATTCTTGTTTTTAATTGTGAAAGGCTTTAAGATATTGTTACATTTTAGAATATTTAAAAGGATTTATAGTAAGATGCTATTGCTTAAAATTTAAATAAATTACATGTAACACTGTTTCAGGCATGCCAACAATCTCTTGCAACTGGATAATGGTGTTAAAGTTCCTCCAAGGTCAGTTCACGTGGAACCATTGGTAATGTAACAATGATTTCCAACTGAAGATAAATATCCTTATTGTCTACTTGTCCTTAATGACTAATGTATTCTTTAATACTAATGATTGATTGACTGATTGATTAGTTGATTGTTGTTATATCAAACAATATAAACTACATGTTATCTAGTAATACAGTCATGTAGGAACTTTACAAGAGTTAGAGAGAAATGTACCTTGATTCATTTTCATGTGGGTTTTGTTGTGTCCATAATTCTTGCAGAGGCTGGAAGTGTGCAAAGTGTGATTTGAAAGACAATTTGTGGCTCAACTTAACTGATGGAACAATCTTATGTGGCAGAAGATATTTTGATGGTTGGTGCAACTACATGATTGTGCACTTTATCTGATGAAATTTATTTTTGGATATCTTTTTAGACACAATACCCAGACCTTTCATAAATTTCCTCTTGACTCAGTTACATGTAGTTTTGTTCCAGGCTATAATTTTGCCTCTTGGCAGCCTACACTACTGTCTCAGAGTGTGGGATAATTTAACATAGTTTATTGCTGATAAGTTAATAAAGATGGTGAATTTTAAGCTCGGTAATGAAATGTGAAGGTGAATTAATCAATATGACACGAGCGTGGGACAAAGAAAAATTCTGAGTCCCCGACCGGAATCAAACCCATAGTTTATTGCTGTTTTATAAGGCCTTATGCTTCTGATGGCGCGATGAGGACTGATGATGATTGCTGTTTTGTACATACCACATTGCCAGGGAGGAGGAAGAGAAGAAAAAGGAAAAGTTAACTGTGGTTTAATAATTAATTATAAAAATATTCATTAAAAATGCTGTGATATGGTGTTTCAATATTAAAGTGCCTTTATTAGTTTGCTTTTGTTTTTTTCTATGTAGGCTCTGGAGGTAACAACCATGCTGTTGATTATTACAAAGAGACAGGTTATCCTTTAGCTGTCAAACTTGGAACAATTACACCTGATGGGGCAGGTACATGTAATCAATGATTGTTAGTACTTGTAGTTTTGTAGCTCCATTTTAAGATCACTGGCAACAGTTTCCAGTCCTTTTCCAACAGCTATACTTAGCTATAGCTATACTAAGGATCAATACTGGCACTTGTTATCAAGTGATGCTATATGATGCTATATGATGCTACAGTAAGACACAAACACCCAGCCATTGGTGAACCAAATAATGGTAATCTTCATGGCATAATGGGTCACCATAGCAATAGTATAACCTGTTATATATTGATCCATCAAAGTGTAAGTGATGGAAAGAGAGCTGGAAACTATTGTCAGCCACCTTAAATTCCAAGTTTTCTCTAATGAATGTATCCATGTGTATTTTACATCACACTGAGTTATCCAGTACATTAAAATTTAGCCCACTAAGACACTGTTTCTATAAAATTCAAATGAGTAGAATTCATGTGTAACAAAAAATACTAGACCCGCTGACTTCTATCCTATGCACCAAGTAAGTTAAAATGATAATATTACTTTGTATTAATGGAGTGCTAATGTATCAAATCCCAGCCCATGGTCTGACCCTCATCAATTTGCATGATCAACAGTGATCCATTCAAGGTGTAAGTTTCTTTTGATTTTACCTTTGTCCTGTAGATGTGTATTCTTATGATGAGGATGATATGGTTGAAGATCCTAACCTAGCTCAGCATCTTGCTCATTTTGGAATCAACATTACTCAGATGGAAAAGGTACATTTGAATGTGGAACTTGTGCAGCATCTGTAATTTGTAAATAAATTTCATCATAACATTGTCAAAGTAGTCTGCGGATCCACTCAGCTATCGCCTTATGGATCCACAGCTACTTTGACAATGTTATGACAAAATTCATTGTCAATAACAGGACAGACGCATGAAAAACTGACTTCAATTTGTTAAACTGTACACACTACCAGGACAATCAGATGCTTTTATTTGAACAAAATTTGTACAACTGGATTGTACAGATCATCTTTTCTTAGGAATAAAACAACCATTTCACTTTTTAACATCTCTTTTATAAACTTTTTTGCTAATTTTTAATTGATGAAGCTGCAAATTCGCAATGACTTAATTTTACTCCAAACTAAAAGCTTTCCTCACATTTCACAGTAATTATGTTCTTTCATATAACCATTGCTCACAAAATACCCTTAACCAGGCGGAGAGTACTCCAGTTACAGTATATACATGTCTCTAAGACTACTGCTTGTACTAACATCCACGTGATATTAACTATACGAAAAAGCTTTATATGAGCAATGTCATTTCATGTTACTATTTCAGACTGACAAAACAATGGCCGAGTTGGAAATAGACATCAACATGAGGATAAGAGAATGGGATGTCATACAGGTGGGAATACAACCTGGGTGTTTTTTTTTTCTTTGTATTGCCAGTTCAAAGCATTAAATATATTTCACAATCTTCTGATGTCTCCAGTTGCTCATCCAAGTTCCAAATGTCTCTCATGATGTTGCCACATTTACATTGAGATATCGTCCCCTTATCACTGGAGACCAGTCAATCAAGATCTGAAGCTAGACGCAAATCAATTCATATATAACAAAAGAGTTCCTAGCTTGCATGCATGCCTAACACACTCATCTCCAGTCATTTAATGTTAAGCATTTACTNATGAAGGAGATAATTAGTTGTTGATTACCAGAACAATAACGAAACTTGAGTTTTGTAATAAAATGTACATTTTTTGTTCACAACTGTATTTGATTATAAGCCGAACACAACTAATTACAGAATGAAGATGTTGTGTTGTCTCTACGTATTTTTTTTTGAAATATAAATTTGCGATCTCAAAGTCACACTCCTTGGTTGAAATGTTTATCACAATGTATCTGTAACCCACATAGAACCTGCTTGATCTTGCTTAGCTAAACAGTTTCGCATATTTCTGGGTATTGAAATGGCAAATTTCTGCCAGCAGGCTCTTAAACCACTAGGTTCTTACACGCAGGTTATTACTGTAATGCAACATTTACTTGAGCTCTTAGTTAAGTAACCAGCAGTTGATTGTCCATGTAGGTTGAAGAAAGGACGCAGTGTATGCAATCAGGAAAAGTCCGTTACAACCACAGAGAAGATACACTACTGTCATTGTCTATACCCATGGAAGCAGTTCTTAATAAAGGTGAGAATCTTTGTTGTGCAATGCTGTGTCTGAGACGAATTCGGCGTATTGAGTGACATGTTTTTCTTTGTTCCGTCGTCGTCTCTAAAGTAGATCAGTGAATAAGCGGTTATGAATTAAAACAATGACACGCTTTGCTTTCCTCTGTCTTCCTTCTAGATGAAGTCGCGGCCTACGAAATGAAACAGAAAGAAGCCGAAGAAAAGAAAGAAAGACTGTAGGTGCCTCAAAAATGTTTCGCTTAAATAAATCTCCTTATCACCGATCACCGATGTGAAAAAAAAAATTATCTTCGCAGCTATTTTCGTTGATTTTTAAATTAAAATTCGTCCCTTTCATGTTCACGACCGAGAAATTGGGGAGAATGGGGCGGGTTAACTCTGAAGCGAAGAAAAGACGGAAAAGATGGGTCGACTCTGTAAAAGCAAAGTTTAGATTAATTCAGGGCTTCACCTTTTATACCTTAACTAGGTAGGGTAGGGTATTTTCCCTTGGTTTTGTTCACTTGTGTTGTTGATCACAGGGATCCCAGTGAGCTAGTTCGGCCCAGGGTATCCATGACAGCATGCATTGAAGCCTTTGCTACTCCTGAAGTAGTGGACGACTTTTACAGCACAGCACTGCAGGCCAAAAGTGTGGCACAAAAGTGAGTTACAGATATTATGAGTAAACATGTGTTGCTCTTTCCTTGCCAAGTTCTCTCCGTGTGAGAGAGGCGTCCGAAATTCGAAGCTCGTGGATCGCGCAGGCCTTGAAAACTGCGTGAAAAATTGCAGCATCCATGAAAACTCCTCAAAGTTGGACAATTTGAATTGTTTCCTAAAAAAAACCCTTCAGGTTTTTACCAGCATTCCTTGAAATGTTTTTCCGAGCCAATGAAGATTGTTGTTGTTATTGTTGTTTTTTTTTTTAACTTTGTTGACAAGTCCTTAAATGCTTGAGACTATAGGATGAAAAACGCAAGATTGACTTAAACTTTAGATTAAGGCAAGAAAACAGTTTATTTTTTATGGTAATGGAGTTTAATGATTGTTATGTGAAGTACCTACCTACAAAGTATAATCCTGCCTTCAATGGAGTATTGAGTATTTTGTATTTTGTGTTCCTTTTTTTAACAATTTTTACATATAATTCTGAGGAAAGCTAGAACTAGCATATTGCAACGTTTGAAGAAACGTCTTTATAAACCACGATACAGATGACGATGTGGGACCTAGATCCCTGAAGCGTCTGTGATTGGTCGGTACTTGCGAGTCAAAACTCGTTACCAAGCAACATCCCATCAGAGGCACGTTTGGATCTCTGCAGCGTTACGTCATCACATCCAATCCGAGTCTCAAATCCTTGACGTCTCTCAACCCAGGAATGAATTCAAATCATGTCGAGAGACGGCAGTTTTTTTCAAGTAATTTTCCAGTTTATTTTCTCATCTGTTAAAAGGGCTGAAGATATATCTTAACTTTGTTTGTTTGTGCATGTTGTAGATCAACAAGATTCTCCACGTTTCCAGATTACCTGATGGTCCAGATGAAAAAATTCACTCTTGGTGATGACTGGATTCCTAAGAAGCTCGGTATGACTGGTTTTCTTGTAAATATATAGAAACTAGCGCGCTGATTGGTTTAAAATCGTGTTTCCATGAGCCGGTAGAAACAGAACTAGCACGAGCTGTTGATGTAATGATGGCGCGAGCAAAGATATTTGCGTTTTGATGATCAAAGTAAACAAGTTGCTCTCTTTTTTTCGTCGCGGTGTTTTCTAAAAGGAATGGAAAACATGCTCTCCGTGTTTCTATCGGGTTTTAGTATAAATCTACT